TATTATAATTATTTCTAACGATATAAAATAATATACATATACATATATAATATACATCAATACCAATTTAAAATAATAAATGGACCTAACAGTATCTCTTAAAATAGATTATAAATCCATGTTAAATAAATTTTCTTAAGTATATAATAACATAAGATAAACGTGGGGTATATTTTTCATACATAAATTTGAAATATTCATACTACAAAAAAAAAATGTAAACTTACAACTATTGTCAATTTTAATTATGTGAATTAAAAAAGAGAAATAAATGAGTAGTATGCTAAACTAGTATTCAAACTTCTTGACAGGGAACACCATAATCATTGTAACATATACTTTCAATTAATATGAAAATGAGTTAGTTACATAATGTTCTATCAAACATTAAAAAAAAATGTGAAATTTTTAATCTTATAAACAGTATAAAAGCACAATTTTATCAAATCTATATTATTATAAATAAATAAATAAGTAATATTATATTATATTTTATCTTATGTGATTATAGTTGTAGCCTAATAAATAAGATACTTTGATAGCAACATAATTATATAAAATGCGTAAAAAAATTAAACAATACAAATAAATATGTCCTAATTCTTTCAAAAAATAAAATATTATTTGTGAATACAGTAAGAAACAAATAAAACAATAGTAAGGCAATGAGGAAAAAGAAGTCTGTCTTTTTTTTAAAAAAAAAAAAATATGAATATCAATATCTAGAAACAAAAGTCTTTTATAATTACTACATTTTTATTACTGGCGTTTAAATTCTCATAAAATATTGATCTTATATTATAAACTTTGAATTTTTATTTTTTTATTTTTCCGAAACGATAGAAATAACTATTAACTCAAGAAACGGGAACATTATTCAAATACAAATCAAGACTATCGCAAATCAAAGACTGAGAGGACTCTCATACAAGCGACCTAGAACCTCGACAACTTGAACCAAAGAAAATGAAACTAAGGAAATCCCCCCACTGCAATTAAGCCCCAGGAAGCCTAAGAATCATCACACAACAAAACCAGCTATATACTAACAAACAAACCAGCTAACAAAGAACTAACAGAACCAAACATAACCAACAGTGCTAAAATAGCTAAAACCGCAAACTAACACTGAAAGAGACAACATGCTAGACTAAAACAACAAACTAAAGGAATAACAAAATAGATTAAAACTGATAGAAAGCTAGGTGCAGGTTGCTTCAATGAACTCCAACCAGTCTTTATGAGCTATGTTGACAAGTTGGTGAGCTGGAATTTAAATATCTTGAAAAAGCCACAGGTTCCGAGATTTCCGGAGCCACCAAAGCATGTAGGTTGTTAGTTGAATCCAAGCTTCAGATGTCTCTGATTTATTGAGAGCACACACATCTAACCACCAGCCTCTAAAAGAAGAGGGAGGGTGCTGCAGGTAATTCCAGAAAATCAGAGCCAAATCCCAAACTCTACTTGCTTTAGAACAATGGAAAAGGACATGTTCAGTAGTCTCTGGCTCAGCTCCACAGAATTTGCAAATTACATCAATGTCTAGGCCTTTCCTCCACAACTTTATTTTTACAGGTAGAGTGCCATTTAAACACTTCCAAATGAAGTTCTTTAGTTTACCTGCAATTTTAACATTCCAGCACCTAGAGAGGCCTGCACAATTGCTACCTGATGAAGAGCTACTGCCAGGGATGTCTAAAGCTAGCAGCTTCTGATCTGAGAGGAAGGCATATGTGCTTGCAACAGAGAAGAGCCTTTCTTATCCAACTTCCAATACTGCCTGTCAGGGTGACCTGGTTTGAGTGAGTTGATAGAGAGTATGGCAGAGCTATCTCCTGGATCAAAGACTTGGTTAACCAATCATGAATTCCATCATGTTCCAAAGTTATTAAAAAGGTCCTTGACCTAAATCAGATGATCTCTGGCCAGTTCCATTAACTCTGGCTTGGGTTTGGGCAGATTAGGCACCCAATTCACATCAGCAGTCCTTGTAGTTTCTCCATTTCTAACCTCCACAACAAAGCCTTTAGCAAAGATAGGTACCACTTCAAGCCAGTTAGACCACAACCAGTAGCAGTTATGGGATTTTGTGGCTTCAAAAATGGAACAATGAGGGTAGTATCTGTCTTTAAGGATCCTGCTGACCAGCAAATCAGGATTTGAGGTGATCCTCCATAGTTGTTTGCATATGAGTGCAGTGTTGAAGAGTTTGATGTCTAAAAAATCTAGCCCTCCCTTGTCCCTAGGCAATGACATGGATGCCCAGGATTTCTAGTCTATACCTTTAGAATGTTCTTCTCCATTTTTCCACCAGAAATGAGAGCACAGTTTAGAAATTTGAGTACACACAGAAGCAGTCAGTCTAAAGCAAGACATGGAGAACACTGGCAAGGCTTGAATGGCAGATTTTATAAGAACTTCTTTTCCAGCACGAGTTAGAAATTTAGTCCTCCGGTTTTCAATTCTAGACTTCACAGTATCCAGTACAAAGTTAAAAGCCTCTACTTTGGATCTACCAATGCCCAAAGGTAGACCTAAGTACTTGGTGGACCTGTGGGGTGTGATGCCTTGTAAAGTTGAGCAAATGCTGTCCTGGAGGATCTGGGGAGTGTTCCTACTGAAGAAGATGGCTGACTTTTGCAGGTTAACCTTTTGTCTAGAGAAAAGTCTGTATTTGTCCAGGATAGTAAGGAGAGTTGCAGCTTGATCCACACTAGCCTTGCAGAAAAAGATGGAGTCATCTGCAATAGCAAGTGGGATAGAGGTGGACCATTTTTTGATAATTTAAGACCCTGAAGGTAACCAGCATCTGAGGAAGCAGTCACTAATGCAGAAAGCAACTCAGCAATGATGATGAAAAGGTAGGGGGATAAAGGGTCCCCCTGCCTTATGCCTCTGGAAGGATGCACATAACCACTGACTGTGCCATTAACCTTGAAAGAGTAGGTGCAGAAGGATATACAAACCATGATGAGGTGAACAAAATTTTTATCAAAGCCCATTTTTAACATTGTGTTCTTAAGGCATAGCCATGCAACTCGATCAAATGCTTTCATTAAGTCCAATTTTCGAGCCATGAAGAAGTTCTTCCCTGAGGAGTGTCTGTTTAAGAAATGGAAAGCCTCTTGGGCAATGATTACATTGTCTAGTAATTGCCTCCCCTTGATGAAAGTAGACTGGTAATCACTCACACAAGCATGCAGGCAAACTTTAAGTCCCAGAGCAAGGATCAGTGATAAGATTTTGTAAACAACTGGGCACAGACTAATTGGCCGAAATTGAGAGAGATTTTTAGTATTCAGAGTTTTAGGTACCAGAGAAATGATGGTGTGGTTCTAGTATTTGAGGAGCATTCCATTATCAAAAAAACTAGATAAGGCAGCACATAGATCAAGTTTAACAATATGCCAGAACTTTTGAAAGAACAAGGTAGTCATATCATCTTCACCTGGTGTCTTTTCTGGGCTGAGACTGAATAGAGCTTCCTTTATTTCATCTTCACTGACTGGCTTGAGCAAATTCTGGTTCATGCTTGAGGTGATGGATTGAGGTATATGGTGAAGAATAGAGTCACCTCCCCAAGCACCTTCTGAGGAAAAGAGGGATGAATAGAACTCTGCAATGTGGTCTTGTATTTCTTTCTGGGAGGAGCATTCTCTATTCTGGCCTGTGACCAATTTGCAAATGGCATTCTATCTCCTTCTCATCATCACATATGCATGGAAAACTATTGTATTCCCATTATCTGCCTTTAACCATTGGAGCTTGGCCTTTTGTTGCCAGAAAGTCTCTTCAGCTTGATGGGCTTTTTCTAGCTCAGATTTGGTAGCCACCCATGAATCCCAGTTATCTGCCATGTTATTGTCTCTAAGGGTTGCTAGCTTAGCTGTTAAGTGCTCAATATTGGACAGGTTTTGGGATTTAAACTTAGAACTCCAAATGATGAGGGCTTCCCTGGTACACTTGATTTTCTCTTTCAGCTGGAAAAAGGGGGTGCTTGAGTGCATTGAGTTCCATGTTGTGCCTATTACCTCTGCAATATCTGGCTTGAGAAGCCACCTTTTATCAAAATGAAACTGGTGCTTTATTCTTTCCTTCAGTTCTCCAGAATTTAGAAGCATCATTGAGTGGTCAGATGCCCTTTTGATGAGGTTTGATATAGAAGCATTGGGGAAGGATGTAAGCCATTCAACAGAACCAAATCCTCTGTCCAATTTTTCTTCAATGAGCTCTTCATTTGATATGTTGTTGCACCAAGTATACTGATACCAATTATCCTGATTTCCTCCATAGACATATTGTTGATAAACTCATTGAACCCAACTAAGCTCCTGGCAGTTCTGGGAATGCCTCCAAGCTTTTCATCACTGGCGCAGATATCATTCCAATCTCCCAGAATGAACCATTTGTCACCCCAACTGTGTTTATCTGATTCAAGTTTCCTCCATCGATCAGCTCTAGTATGAGAGCATGTGGTAAGGTAAACAAAAATGCCCCAATAGGAGCTGCTATTTTGATTAGAGAATTCAACTGCAATATAGAAATCAGTGGATATACATTGCAAAATATGAACCTCAGAGCTCCACATAAGCAGCAGGCCACCACTAATGCCTATAGGATCAACTAAAATTGATCTGCCTTCAAAACCTAATTTCTTGACAACAAATTTGACAAAACCTGAGGGTTTTTTAGTTTCAGACAAAAAAAGAAAAGATGGGTGGTGAGCTCTTACTGTCTCTCTGATTTGGGAAACTGTAGAGGGCCCATCCAGCCCTCTACAGTTTCACACCGCAGCTAGCATTGGTGTTTATTTCCTTTCAGTGTTAAGAAGAATTTGCCTATTGATGTAATGTGTGATGATTTAAAAAAATAATTTAGTTTTCATGTAATGTGTGATGATTTAAAAAACTAATTTAGCGACTCGGGATAAATATATGTAACCAATATTTTGAAAGGTCGACTTCATTTGGAAATGAAACTCATTCTCACCCCGTGGGGCGATGCCTCCGTGGGGGAGGTGTCAATTTGTCTATATGGAGAAAGAATAATGAAGTAGTTTAAAAAAAAAATATCAGCAATTAAATGACACGATTGATTATTTGACAGAGATATTCATTAGCTGTTATTAGCAATACCTTATAAAGATCATAATCATAGAGTTTGACTATATGTTAGAACAAAATATTTTGCATTGTTTGAATAAAGTAGACTTTTTGCCTAATGAATTAAGAAGAATTTGCCAATTGATGTATAGAACTCGAATGGGTATGTATGTTTTTTTTTATGAGAACGTCTCAAAACTAAAATGAAAAAAAATCACACTTGAACCATCAAACATAAATAAATAAAAGAACTAATGTATTTATATTATACATTATGTCTTTATTTAGTTATTTAGTGTCTTTTTTAAAAAACAAATAAAAATTATGGACTCATTTTTCAGGTATTTTTGTTGGATTTGTAATATGTTATTTTATTTTTTTTATATTAGTACATCGTTATGTTATTTTTTAAAAAACAAATACATTAAGAGCTTTTTTTTTAAAAAACAAATACATTAACAACTAATTTATTCTATATTTTATTTTGTTCTGATAATGATATTTTTAATAAATTAATTAATTTATTTTAGCAAAAAACACGTGCACTTGCACTAGTATTTTAAAAAGTTTGTCATGAAGGGATTTCCCTCAATAAAAAATTTGAAGCCTAGGCTTCGTCAAATGTAACTTTGCACTGACAATTTATTTCTAAATACCAGAATCTGGTCATCTTCTCCCTTCCTCTGGAGCTCACATTCAACCTACTTTTGCCAAACCTTCTTGAAATCCAATGGTCCCTCACTTATCAAAATCGGCCAGAATCATGAAACTGAAAATGTGTTTTCTGGGAACCACGAATTTCAGTTCCTGGAGTGGTAATTTCTTTCAGAATAAGCGGTCTTTGTTGGGAAATAGAAAAAGTCCAACTTCATTTTTGTGTAATAATAGGCCGACTCTTATCTCCACTCGCCGCCTATGCTCTGTTGAAGCTGATAAAAGATTGTGTTCTCCGCACAAGGTCGGTGATTCTCAGGTACTATTTGTTTTGGCTTATATTAGATTTATATCACATTTCCGAGTTTATGCCATTTGTATAATTCTTTCTAACTTCTCCTCTTCGTTTTTCATACTTTCCGTGAAATACCATCTACCTTTTTTTCTTTCTTTTAATTGTGCTATTTTTTTATGATTATTAAATTGAAACCTCGATGATCAGGGTTACTGAAAATTAGAAATTGAGATCTCAAGACTTTAGATCATCATCTGTAATTTATTAAAGATTATCTGAAATTTCGGACGCATAATGGTTACTTTCAACTTCTGTTGTGCTTAACATACATGTCTAGGATTTTTTATCAGGTCACAGTGGACAAATTTTAATTCAGTGTTATGGTTGAATAGCAGTACAAACATGGTGGGGCAAGATTCTTAGAATAGCTACCAATTTGTGTGCTGCTTTATTTTTATTCACTCTATCTTTTTTAACTGTACTGTATCTCCAACTCATTGCTTTCTTGCATCTCCAATACAGTAAAAGAAACAAAAATGTGGTGTTGCGGTTATACAAAACTAGTAATTCATGTCGGCCTTGTATTATTAGAAATCTTCAGTATTATTCACGCAAGCCAAGATATGTTTGTGCTTTCAGTCTACCTGAAAGAGAAGTCTCATTTGTTGCATTTATTCTAAAACTGAAACTTAACTCTTGTGAGAAGTCCAAATTGGTTGAAGGTTTTTTTAACTTGTCGATAATCTGCTCCTTAATCAAATATCACGCCTTTATACAACAATGCCAATTAATTAGTAATGAAATATTTCTTAATTTACACCAGGTACTGAATTTTCCTGGGGGAATAGTTAAATTTACCCCAGAACTGAACTTCCTGGCGGGGTCCCGAGAGGAAAGGGTTCATTGCTATCGAGTTCTTGATGACAATGGTCTACCGATAAGCAGGGATTATGTGCAGGTCGATTATTATAATGGTGTTCTTGTTTTTGCTGCGTATAATTGACCTTATATGCAAATAAATGCAGTTGGAAAGTATTCTTCTAATCATAAGCTGCATCATCAGATAGACAAGGACATTGCTGTGAAGATGTATAGAGACATGGTTAGACTTCAAACTATGGACACCGTTTTCTATGAAAGCCAGAGACAAGGAAGAATATCATTCTATGTCACTGCAATTGGAGAAGAAGCCATTAACATTGCATCCGCTGCTGCACTCAGCATGGATGACGTAGTCTTTCCTCAGGTTAAATAATCATATTCAGAAACCCATTATTGGAATTTTTGCAATCAACAAAAAGGAAAAAAATTAACAGAAAAAGAAAGGATGAAGAACAAAGAAAAAACAAAGTGATTTTCAGCTTCTAGTTTTGATTTGGCATTTGTTGAAGGAGAAAGGAAAAGGAAGAAATAATGTTTTGGTATCAAAATTCTCATAATCATAGATGGGTGCTTCAAAATTCTGCCTTTGCTTTTGGTTAACTTTTTTAAGCCACTAAACCTTTTATAACTTTTTTGTCACACTTTTAATGAGTTCATCCTCTAGCTGCTATCCAGTTTGACGACTCTCAACTACTTTTAGCTTCTACCACAAAAACTCATTTGACTTGTGCCAAAGCATGAGCTCCCGCAAACACTCCTTTATACTTCACATTTAGGTGTATCAGAAGCTCGAAAACTCATGCTGAGACAGACAAATATTAAGCCATACTAAATACACGATCCATCTCTACTGTACCCGTAAAGCATTCAGTATGGTGGTTTCTGTACTTTTCCGACTACTTTGCAGCGTCAGCATAATCATAGTAATGGGCTTTGCAGTATAGGGAGGCTGGAGTTTTGCTTTGGAGGGGATTTACTCTACAAGACTTTGCAAACCAGTGTTTTGGGAACAAAGGCGACAATGGTAAAGGAAGACAGATGCCTGCCCATTACGGATCCAACAAGCTTAACTACATCACAATTGCTTCAACGGTTGGGTAAGATCTCTATATCAATATGTATTTGTTAAAAGTTATGTTTGTCCCACATCGATTAGTTACTGGGCTGTTATTATGTATATAAGTGAGGGTTGGGCACCCTCTCCCCCTCTCCCTTTAAGCTAGCTTTTGAGGATGAGTTCTACCCAAGCCATTAATCAGTTTTAATATTTAGTAAAACTATTTCCAAATTTTACCCCATGAAAATTGTGGTGAGCCAACCTTTCCACAGTACCCAAATTCCACATGCTGTTGGTGCTGCTTATTCACTAAAGATGGACGGGAAAGATGCTTGTACAATTACTTATTTTGGAGATGGGGGCACCAGCACGGTTAGTATACACCTAGACTATTATATTGTCTGCTACAATAGGAATTGAAGTTAAAACTATGCTATTTCTAGGACTGCAATTCAAAATCTGAAAAGAAGGAAATTGAAGATTGTGTGGAAATATTGTTTGTTATGGTTGATGAATTGTCAGGGAGATTTCCATGCCGGATTAAATTTTGCTGCTGTTATGGAGGTGCCCGTTATATTCTTTTGCCGAAACAATGGATGGGCCATCAGCACCCCAGTTAGTGATCAGTTTAGAAGTATGTTAACTACCAAACACTACCTGTTACTTACTTTTGCTTTGCCAAATCTCTCTTCTTTTTGTTTTTGTTTTTTTTCCAATTTTTGGGCACTTCCACATAATCCTTAAATGAATATTGGACAGGTGATGGTATTGTCGTTAGAGGCCAAGGTTATGGTATTCGCAGTATCCGTATTGATGGTAATGATGCCCTTGCTGTGTTCAATGCAGTTCGTGCAGCACGCAAGATGGCAATTCATGAATCTAGACCTATTCTAATTGAGGTGGCTTGAATATTTATCGCTACTTGCTTCTATTAGAGTTGATATTTGTTACATTTTGTGGGTGTTTTAAGTTTTTTGTCGGCAGGCCCTCACATACAGAGCAGGGCACCACTCAACATCAGATGACTCTTCTAAATACCGTCCAATTGAAGAAATTGAATGGTGGAAAGTGGCTCAGGATCCTGTGGTGCGTTTTAGGAAATGGCTTCAAGAACAAGGCTTGTGGAATAGTCAGTTGGAGAATGAACTCCGGGACTACGCTCGTCAGGAGGTAGTGATAACTTGCTTTGTGAGCTATATTAATGGCTTCTCGCACCTCGAATTATTAAGCAAAGATTTCTCTTTCATGCTTGGTAGTAGAGATAATTACAAAACCATCGCTTGGATGTGGAGAATTACAAAAGAAGCAGAAAAGGTTTCAAAACAATACAACAAAAGCCTTGAATCTTGATTTTGCTTAAATTTAGGGGGTTCTATACGCTATTGGCCAACTTGGGGGAGGAGGGGTTAAAAAGTGTCTTGCTTTGAAGACTCCAAGAGGCTGATTTCAAAAAATAAGCAACTTTAGTCATTTCCCACTTTGTCCACTAATTTTTTGGATTGTGATTTGGTACAGTAATCGGTAACTTTAAAACAGTCACACCTGAAGTATCAATTTTTTCCGCAAAATTGATCCCGGCTGTTGACATAAATCCATAATAAGTAAATTTGGGGTGAAAATTGTTAATTCACCCGATTATGGACTAAAAATGCAATTTTTTTTTATGGTTTTGGAGTTTCGGAACTTCTCCCTGATTTTCTAATGTTTGGTAATTACCCCAAACCCTAGGGATGGTAATTGAAATTTTTAGTCACAACTGCTGTAATTCTTTGAACGCTACACCTACAGGTTTTGCATGCAATTCAAGATGCAGAGATGGCTGATAAGCCCAATATAAAAGAGATTTTCACAGATGTATATGACGCCCCACCTTCCAATCTTCGTGAACAAGAGAAATCTCTTAGGGAAACGGTTGAAAGGCATCCACAGGATTATCCCCATCTTCGGTTTTAGTCAAGTTTCGACTTATGTCATGATTCATACAAAACTTGCTGCCTTTATAGGAGAAAGAATGTGATCCGGTGCAGGCACCACCCCATGCCCTGCAGTATTCTCCTCAACTACATTGGCTGCATTTGAATCACTTTATATGAACTTTGAATGTTGTGCAACTTATAAAGTTGTACTTATTTCGAATAAAAAATTATGTGATTATTTCTCCTTAACCTATTAGGGGTCGTTTACTTTGCAGGATGGGATAAGACAAATTTATCAAGGGTACTTTACAGCTCAGCAATCAGTCCCTTGTTTACTTTTCTGGTTGGAATTTACATAAATGAATCCCATCTTTACTTCAACGGATTAATTGGCATGTTACAGAATCCAAAGACTAAATTACCCTTATGTTGTCTGTACAACATCGACTTCACAGAATCGCTTTCATTCTTCAATTCTTCTCCCCCGATACCCTTCACTCATCCCCATCTTCAACAGCGATCTTCATCTCTTCTCCCCCGATACCTTTCACTCATCCCCATCTTCAAAAGCGAAGTACCATTCACGAAACCGATTAACCGGCACAAATTGAAGATGGTTGCATATTTGAGGAAGGGAAAACTAAAATATGCCGAATTTGAACAAAATGTAACCTACACTCGGAACCAAATTAATGAAACAATAATAGGCATAACTAAGATGTCAAGGTGTTTACCTACACTGGTACCTGAGAAGAGCTCACAGTTATGCCCAACAGAGATTGCGTTTTGTACGGGACCAACAAAAATTGCGATAAATAAACAATAAATAAATAAATAAATAAACGAACTAAAATTGTTGTACAACTCATATTTCAACGATTATGTCAGTATTTCTCATTTCCCATTAGTAGAAAATGTTATAAATCANAATCCCCGGAAACATTAGTTACTAAAAGCAGAACGACATTCCAATTGTTTTTTCTATTGCATTTTTCCCTTCGAAATACTTCACAGATTTATCCATTAACTCGAAAGCACAAGCAAATTCTGCAAACATCACATACGAAAAAAAATAAAACAAGAACCTATCTGCAAACATATAAAAGGAAATCTATAGTATAATCTCAAAAGATGCCTTCCCAGCGAGAAATAGATATAACTATGTCAGCTACAACAATAACGAAAATAATGAACATTAATGAAGTGGCTCCAAAACATTGTTACATAAATTAATGAAAAAGGACAGGATGTGAATTAGAGTTCCATCTCTTAACAACCGAAAAAATAAACAGAAAATGATGTGATTCAAAACTGTATATTTATTGCCACTCAGTTGAAGTAACAGCAGGTACTCCTTCGACCGCCATTGGTGGTGGCACAGCCGAGTCCCACCCTCCGTCAGCAGCAGCAACTGCAGTTTATCACCAGATTCACATAAATAAGGAAGAAAAAATCATTCTAACTGATTTAAACCTTCGGCCAGAATAAAACAGTGCTAAAAGCTCTAACATGACATACGCACAGTCCAAAATATGTGCTGCTTATAAGCTACAGTACAACAGTCACCATTTCTTAGAGGTCCAAAAATGTAAAAAAGATCAAACAAAACAATTCATCTGTTGTACTGCATATGAATTCGCCACAAGGACTGGAAATAATGTAATTACAGAAAGACTACAAACCTCACAAACGGAAAGAAAAGGAAAGGGAAAGGAACAGATCAGACTAACCAGTTGAATCTGCAGCCCAACCACTTGCAGCTGGAGCAGGAGCATCACCAATAGACCATTGACCTTCAGGGATTTGGCCACTAGACCACTCGGCACCAGTAACTGCAGCAGCAGCACCTGAATAATCAGCATAATCTGCTATAGCAGGAACTTCCTCTGCTTCTTCTTCCTTAGACTCCTCAGGCTCCCGGTAGAAGAATAAATCAACCTGCCAAACCCAGAAAAGGCAAGAAAAAAGAAACATAAAAATTATGTTTGATATTCAAAATAAGCCCTTAAAAAGGATAATTCTGATACGAGGAATAACTAACTGTGTTGGTGATAAATAAAAGCATTAACTTTATATTATATTGTAAAATATAATAACTAAAATTACCATGACATCCCATTTGTGCCCTGGAGCAATTGTCGCACGCATCTGGAGCACCATCCTCGCCAAGAGCCAAAATAGGCAGCCAATGCTGTGTTTCCCTTTGTTGTTTGCTGGAATACCAATATCAACGTATCTCATCGGGGAATCAGTGTCACAGAAGGCAATTATTGGGATGTTAGATAGAGCAGATTCCTTAATTGGCTGTACACAACAAAGTTGATATACCAAAGAAAGACAGTTACGGCAATACAGTAGCCAAATATGCGCCAATCTATACCAAGAATAAACAGAGTACGGAAATATACTCACCTGATGATCAGTTCTTGGGTCAGTAAGGATGAGAAGTCTTGGTTCGCTAAAGGAAGTCTGGAGCTGATTGGTAAAAGTACCAGGGGTGTGACGTCCAGCAATTGCGTGGGCCCCAGTGTATTGGGCAAACTTGAGGACGGCCCTCTGACCATAGGGCCTGGCAGACTGGACAATGATGTCCTGAGGGTTTTCTATTGCAACAATAACCCTCGCAGCCAACTGAAGCTTTTCCCAAGTCTTCCCAAGGTTGATAATGTATATTCCTAAGAAGGATTCACAGCTGAGAAAGCAATACAAGAATATGTCGAGAAACTAAGTAATAGGGGACCAGAGAGCACTTCAATATATGGACATTCTGTGATATGCAGTGATAAAGGGGCTCAATTACAATCAATTGCTATGCATTTACCATCTATTCATTATAGGGGGAAAGGCTTAGCTGGCTCAGAAAATGAGATATCGAGGTAAATGTGCTTCCCAATAGATAAAACGGTTATACTATAAAACTAAATTCTGTTCCTAACCAGTTCTTCTATTTGGACAGTTTGAATGCAATTATGTGTCTTTAGCAAACACAGCTAGAATTAGCAGCTACAAGACTTTGATTACTCTTACGCTTCTTCTTTTTGCTTTTCTTTGTATTCCTATTCACTAATTTCCTTGTTCAAGTTCATTAACTTATGACATAAGAGTTATTCTGCAACAAAAAGCCTAACCAATCTGCCAAGCAAATTATTTCACCAGTACTGCATATATGCAAGCAATTAATATATGGATCTTATGCCTTCATACATACCGCCAACAAACTCTCAATCAAAGCGAATATAAAGATCAATTTTCCAAATAGCATCAACAATAAAAAATACAACTGCACACGCACACACAGGATGGGCAATATGAATTTATATTCACCATCATTTCGGCGCTTAAAAACATAGCGCTCCATCTGAAAGTTGCAGTTTTTGGTGCCGAGATGAGCTTCGGCCGCCAGCAGCATCTGAATGTCCTTCTCCTTGGTCGACAGCGCCATGATTCTGTCTGAGTATGGATGGCTCACTGTAGAAGGACAATGTCAGCTATGCTCGGCGAAAATGAGCATCAACACTCAACTGGTCGCATCTTATACAAAACCCTAGGATGGAGGGGATTTAGGTAGGATTAACCAGGACCATTGGATATATCTTAGATCCAATGATGTTAAATGAGGCATGGATTCGGGGTGGGTTGACATGCTTGAATATAATATATTTGCTTTAAATGGATTTTTTGAACTAATTATCGTATAAATTATAGCAATAAAAGAATATTGATAGTATAAAAATAGTTTTGAATATTAATATTATTTTTTATAGTTTTAAATATTTATATGCTTATTTCACCTGTCACAAAATAGTTGTTATTTTAAGTTTCTAATTAGAATTAAGGAACTCGAATAATTGACATTTCAAGCATTATCAGTATATAATACTAGAGATGTTAAACGGGCTAGCCCAAACGGGCTTCGGGCTAAACGGTCTGGACTTAAAAAGCCCGGATCTAAACGGGCTACCAATAAAAGGATCTAACCCTAAACCTAGCGGACTTCGGGCTAAATGGGCTATAATAATAATAATAATAATAATAATAATAATAATAATAATAATAATAATAAATTACAACACATAGTTAATTGTTTTTTTCAACGGCTATTTAGTATTTACCACTATATATATACAACTACACTTCGTATATGAACACACATTACAAACTATTAAATAACATATTGTTTCTCAATAGAAAAAATAAATGTTCGAATTATTACTTATAACTACCATTTGACTAGTTATTTCGTATGCTTCGGGAATTTTTACAATATAGCATATTGCTGAATTTATATTCTATCACTATATTCTATGTTTTAGGTCTTTGTCTCATTTGTTTTTTATTCGCCGTTCTGATTGGCTTAAATATTTTGTGTGAAATAGAATAAAATTTGTTAATAATTATCTATCAAAATAATAATAATACATTATAACTCATAATTATATGTGAAGTAAAATAATAAAATTGTAATATACAAGGAATCATGAGACATATTTCTTACCTTTCTAAAATCATATACACCACCCAACACAAGTTAAACGGGCTAGCCCTAGCGGTTTTCGGGCTAGCCCTAGCAAGCTTCGGGCTAAACGGTCCGGGCCTAAAAAGCCCGGATTTAAACGGGCTGCCAATAAAAGGCCCTAACCCTGTTTTTTTCCGGGCTAAATGGGCCGGCCCGCCGGGCCAAGGACCATTTAACATCTCTATATAATACTAAAAAAAGACATCTCTCTCTCTCTCTCTCTCTCTCTCTCTCTCATCTTTCACTCATACCTTATTATAATATATCATTTTGATTCTTGAAGAAATAATTGTAAAGTTAAATAATTATAGCAAATAATATGAACTAACACTTAATTTAAAAAAATAGTGTGTATTATTTTAACGTTATAAAATTTACTGTTTTTCAGCTACGTCAAACTTATTTTAATTGTTAATTCACCAGTTGATTTATCACTATAATTTATAACGATATACATGTAGCACCTTGTTCATTCTAAGTAAGACAAAGTTCGATTTATTTATTTTAGCATGAATCCGGTGATTATAAATAAGCATATTTAAAATCGAATTTAATCATTCATGAGGAAAATGTATTTAAGTTATAATTATTAATAGCATTATATAGCGTCGACGTCGAGTGAACAAGGGATATGGATGTGCGTATAACGGCCAAGACGTATATTATTATTATTACTAGTAATCATCCGTGCGATGCACGGGGATATTATTATCTAGACTATTTTAAAAAAACAATTTTGTATATAAATTGTGTTATGCAGTCAATGATCATGATCATAATAATAGACATATAAACATATCATTAAATTGAAAAGATCATATATTATTGAACACTTCCCTATATACAACATTATTGATTTGATTCTTTGGCACGTCCTCTTCACCACAAATTAAGATTTTCAAACCTTTTCGGTTAGTGACACGGGAAACAACAACATATAACTGGCCATGACTGAACACTAGTTTCTTAAGAAATAAGCCAACATAAGATAAGGATTGTCTCTGGCTCTTGTTTATAGTCATGGTGTAAGAAACCATAACGGGAAACTGTCGCCGCTGGAACTTGAAAAGAATTCTAACATCAGAAGGAGTTATGGCCATTCTTGGAATCAACACCTTATCACCAGCATGATCTCATGTGAGTATCTTACACTCAAGAACGTGAGTCGATAGCTTTGTCACTACCAATCATGTCCCATTACACAAACCCATAGAATGATTTATGTTCCGCAACAACATGACTGGAGTTCCAATCTTCAAATACAACTCATGGTTCGGTATTCCGGAACACTTAATACTATTCAAAAACTCAGGCGTATGGAGATCAGACAAAAAATCATTATTAGAATCCGATTTGCACGTACTGTCAGAGCTCAAGTACATACGACCATCCAACAAATTCAATGATATTATGTACTGATTGATAGACTCGACCACATCCAACGTCGGCGCTAATATAACCCTATCCTTCAAATAACTTGGATCGTCGGGTGCCTCTTTATACATTGGATATGTGCTTTCAACCATCTGAGCAATAGGATCATCAGATGGCTGTAGCAAAATGTCCTCGGGTATGTCTATAGGTGCACATCCATCATTCAACCCTCCGATAGTTCCATCTCCGATGTTGGCTATCCAATCTGCAAACCGTGCAAGCTCATCACGTTCATCCGAATTAGCAAGTCCCTGAAGGCGCATGTTTTTCGTAAGCCTAAGCTCAGTACACTCCTCCATATGTCAGAAGCATTAATGGCAGCATTGACTATGTCTTGACGGCTACCCATTGGAATGATAGGAAGGATTTGTCGAAAATCTCCACAAAAAACAAATGGCTTCCCACCAAACGGTTTGTTCAAGTTCAAAGGATCAATTGCTCCCATAATACCCTGCAGCGATGTCTGTACAGCTTCGAAACAATGCTTGTGCATCATTGGTGCTTCATCTCATATTATTAGAGAAGCACGAATTATCAATTCTGCTAGAGGGCTTGACTGATCGATGTTGCAAGTAGATTCATGGTGGGGATTCAATGGTATAGCAAATCGAGAATGCGCTGTTCGTCCACCTGGCAACAAAAGCGATGTTATTCCGCTGGATGCGACACATAAGACTATGTCACCTTTGGATCTCAAACCATCAGATAAAGTCCTCCACAGGCACGTCTTCCCAGTTCCACCATCACCATATACAAAAAAGAGCCCTCCTTGGCCGGATTCAACAGCGGACATAATTGTTGAGTACACACTCATCTGTTCGGTTGTCATTTTCTTAAGGAGCATATCGTGTTCAACAGCGAGGGTCTTTCGATCATAATTCAATTCATCCAAAATTAGACGATTAGAACTTGAATTGATGTTCTCCCTATCTGGAAATGGCATAGTTTCATATTCACGAAAACTTGACCCACGTCGTCTTAATAAATTCTCAATCTCAGCAAGGGTCAGGTTCTTGATTTGTTCTTCAGTGAGCACCAAACCTATAAACCAATTATTTATGAGTAAGAATAAAAAAAAAATATTAAAACGATTAGAACATTGTATATAAAGATAAAAATCAAATTATGATTAAACATATTATAAAAAGTAATTGATTACCATCATTATTGTGTAGTCGGCGATGTCTGTACAAAATGTCATCTGACATGAATTGTCAACACTTTGTCTAGACATCATCCGGCCTTCCAAATGAACCGGACACCAACAAAGATGCAAACATGCGTCTAAGGGAGTCTGCAGAAGCCCATTGACTTGCTTCTGTAATGCCGTCTATATAGTCCCAATCGTCCTCCAACAAACCACGCTCGTAGCAAGCATCACGATACGTTAGATGCTGGACTTTGCCGACTTTCATATAGTCCTCATGACATGTTGCCCCACGCACAACAGTGAGAAATAATCTCAAGTAGTAATTATTTCCACTGCCGGGAGGTACGTATCGTAAACGGCCTACAGAGGGTTGGTCCTCATCTTTTCGAGGTGTCCATTGCCTGATTGTTGTATTCCACACAAATTTTGATGGTGCCTCAACATACGTTAGTTCTCTTGCCTTAGGATATATTTTGTTTGTCTCGAACCACACAAGAAATTGGCTTTCATCAACTGTGGGTTTATTGATAACATTTTCAAGATCATCATCTTCGTCAAATAAAAGGTTCTGTTCTCCAAATAAGTGGAAGTTCAAACACTAGACGGGAGGTTTTTTGTACTGCAACTCAAAACCCAACAACCGCCATGCTGCTTCACACGAAGATATGTACCGACAATCGTAATACATTGTTATCTCATCCAACGGTCTTTCAATATCCCCTTCTGCAGACGTTTGATAGAATGATGCAGTCACACGATCATTACCCTTGTTGACATATTTAAATAGATATTTTATAGATCGTGATTGATTGCACCACTCAACATTAATATGCGCTCCAAACTTCATAAGTAGACGACGATTATGAGGCACGACATATCTATTGTGAACAACAATGCCATTCTTTTCAAGAGATGTTCCACTGTCACGACGTCTATACCGTGGATAACCATCTTCGTCAACAGTTGTGGACTCAACGAACTTCTTTGGAAATTTTTTAGTAAATTTGCCATCCACCATACAGGGCGAGTTTTTGTTTACCAGGCCACACGGTCCATGGATCATATGCTCCTTTACTGCCTCGTAATATAGAGGATTAGACGATTGATCTGGTATCTCTGCAGAGATGATTCTATCTATGTCCGATGGGTCGGGAAATTTGGCCTCCTTAGCAAGGAAGAGCAGTATATGAACGTGAGGTAAACACGTTTTTTAAACTCGATCGTGTATATAACTGCAATATAAAATTGTAGTTAATATTATTATTCAAAATAAATAAATGTTAAATGTATTTTTTTTTGTAAATGATTAATAAATATGTTGTCACCATTATATACATTATCAAATGACTCACCTGCTATAACCTTCCCAAATATTTCCTTTTGACAAAAATCCCTAACCAATTCCTTATGTTTTGCTCGAAAGACCCTACAGACGATATCTGGTCTATCCTCAGGTCTCAAATTTTTCGGCTCGAGATAATGCAATATTTTTTGCCATTTGGGGTTACACGTGAGTGTAATAAACAAATCAGGGTACCCAGCCCATCTACAAATTGCCATTGCATCTTGATAGTTTTCAATCATATTGCGAGCACCAACAGTGAAGCTTGAGGGAAGAATTATTCTTTTTCCTACGGTTCTTGGATCAGTGTCACCACGGAGAACGGCCTCAGCCACACCTTTGTACAAATCACAACGGAGCTTCTTCTGATTGAGATGTATATACCGCAACCTCGCAGATTCAACCACGGTATAAGCATCGACAGTAAACTGTTGATACAATCTTCTAGATGAAACAATAGTCGGTGCTTCGTGTTCTCGATCGTCCATTCTATATGCAAAGTACTTTCGTACACTAACATATTTTCGACCGCCTTGTTTTACCTTCGTGCCTTCCCTAAACGGTATGTCCTCTCGATACCCATCCTCATCATAAGACAACAAAAGAGGATATTGTAATGCCAAATATGAAGCATTAAGTTCATTTATCCGTTGAAGATGACCGTTCCTAGTTTCGACCAGTATGTCTTTTTCACCCATTGTCAGGTCAAAATCGCCAACAACCAATACAACAACTTCTGAACTTGTAGGAAAATTATATCGTCTGGCATCTTTATATCTCCGACCAATCAAACGCACTCGAACATTTGATTCGCCATGCTCCTGCATTCTATCCCTAGCCATACGAAATGATTTCACCAATTTGTTGTGTTGATCCAACATTTGTTTCAACCCAACAACTACTTCCTCATGCAAATTATTAATCCCATATCCGTTTCTGCAAGAAAATTGATAAGAATTATCATTATATGTTCGAGAAGGGCATTTTGAACAGTATAAATGAATAAAAAATTAGAAAGAAAAACACTTAAACAAATATTGAATATCAAGTAGAGTGAATTTATACCTCACAGCATTCATTGGGTTTGAAACTTCATTCTCCATATCATATATATATAATTGTGCGAACTTCGGACATGCACCTTCAGAAGGAAGTAAACTACCAATAAGATGATAATTTTGTCCATGCAAAAAAAAAAAAACACTGGTGGGTCGGTCCCCTTATTGATATCTGAATCAATCTTCCCCCCCAAAGATGTAAAACCGAACATGCTATTGTAAGAACGTATGTTCTCTTGAAAATGTTTGCTCAACTCGCCACTTCCATGAAGCAAATCTTTTAAAAATTGGGGAGGATTTCGCAAAGAAGGTAGCTGAATTTTGCCATTAATGCAACAACCGGTGTACTCAGGTACAACTGCATTTTGATAATAAGCTTTCCTCTCCTCATACCAAAACATCGAACCACAATACATACAACGAAAACTTGCATCTCCCATGTCCCAGTATTCTGTAAATGTTTATTCAAGTACAATATATGAGATAACATTATTTCGTTGCATAAATTTATTTTTTATATTAAAAGTACATATTAAAACTTACCAGATACCACCGACGATGTTACTGTTGTTTTCCTAGAACGTCTACGTTTCCGTTTTACTGTAGTTGGTTGATTGGGAGTATCATGTGTGAGATGAACCACTTCGCTTGCAGTTATAGTTAGAGACCTCGTCTCGTTGTTAATGTGGTCGTCATCACTTGTGAGGTCTATAAGGATGCTATTGGTTGAGTACTACTGGGATTATGGGTGGGCAATATACGACGCTTATGCTTGCTTGCTGGAAAAATAAAGAGTATAACACATTTAATTAATTTTATATTTATTCACATATTAAAATTTATTACAATGGATATTTTAGATAGAAGAGGCTAAAGATCGAAATTTATGAATATACCAATTGAAGCATTAGACGTGCTCAAAAACCCTGTTTTGTCCTGCAACACTATATAAAATTATCCATGTCATTTAGAATTTTTGGTATATTATATGTTTTTAATATGAAAAATATAAAAAACAAATATATTTCCCAATCTACTTGGTAAGATTATGTTTTGCTTATTTTTTAGTATAAAGTGGTGAGTGTGTGGAAATTATTTTGTACTTTAATTTTTTCATGCATATATTATTATATAGTGTTAAATGATACTGTTATATACTCAGTATTAATGCAAATAGTTAAACTTGAAAAAAAAAATCTGAACAATTAAAAACCTTAATAATCAACATTATTAATAACCAATAATATCTGATACTAAAATCAAACAAACTGAATTCCCATAATAAATCCTAAAAACCGAACCATAACCAATCCTAAACTGAATTCCAATAATAAATCCTAAATTACTCATGTTGGCGATGCCAACTTATTCAATCAAAGTACTCAAAGCAAATGAAATCCTAATATAATAATAAAATACTTCAACCAACTAACAATATCATAGCCACTCAATTCTTCACCAAACTTGTCCTTCATTTCATCATCTTGCTCGGTCACTTTTGCTTTGCCCTTGTCTGCAGTGGCTGATTGAGCAGCAAATCCTACCTCATCTTCATGTTTGGAACGTATTATGCCTTTAATGAATGTACCCTACAATATAAATTTATAAATATGAATTAAAATATTTTTTTAAAATTATATAAATTTGATATTACAAATAAAAATATTTACCTGTTCATCATGAAACAGTATATGGAATGCGTTCAAGCTCTCCCGTTGGTGATGCGTTTCAACTATTAGGACTGCTTTCAAGTGCAAAAATGACTTGTTTCTCCTACTCACAGAATCGAGTGTATCCCAGACTGGCGACATTATATTATCTATGTGTTCTAAAATTTATCTCTTTTTTTTCTCTGTAAAATTTATCTCGTTTTTTTTTTTCTCTGAACTGTGAATGACGTGAACTTTTTTTCATTTTCTTTGTGAATGACGTGAATGACGTGAACTTTATTTTATACCAAACAACCGTTTTTGAACTCAAAATTCGCATAATTATATAATGATAATTATGGATCCAATTGTGATAGATATTTCATAGAGATTTATACTTATCTCTTTAATGTGACTTATCCACATATCCCAATAATATCTGTAATCAATTAATTTTTGAATTCAAGTATGACTTTTTTAAAATTTCGTGTATTATAAATAAATGCTTTAAATATGGTTTCTATATTTAGAATGTCAAAGTTTTTTTTTTTGGTCAAAAGTTTCTAAAAAGGTATTTTAACAACAACCTTTTTATATATAGATAGATTAAGATACTTAATCAAGCTTAATTAAATTAATTAGTCTAGTTAACCTAATTAATTAGAATTAACACTTAAGTAATAATAAAAGAAAGGAGATAACTAAACTTTGAATTGAGGAATCGATCCCCAACACAGCTTCCCTATTATCTCGGCCCTCATCTCTCCTCTCTTGGCCTTTCACTTCAGCATCTAAACAGATTTTTCCCATGTTTGTCCTTTCTGTTGGGTTCGCTATACTGTACGGATTAAAATCACAGCGGAAATTATACAATATAATTATTATTTATCAAATAAATAATTAATCAGTAAGTATATATAGCGAATAAAATGATCAGCATCTTTTAAAATCACGTAAAAATACGAATTTTGATTTGTATAGAATTTCGAAAATTACCTTTAATTTTCTTGGGATAGCGACGATGAAGAGGAAATCAATTCCCGGTTATGTGGCTATCACCGTCTTCATACTTCTCACCATAAGGGATCCAAGTGTCTCCCCTCTAATCGATTCCACCTTTTGGATTTCGACTCCGAGAACAATTTCTTCGCTAGTAGAAATTTTTCAGTATTCAATTGGTATTTTGAAATCAAATAAAAGAGAGGAGGAAAAAAAAATCCGTGAGCATCATACGCTCTTTCTAGCAAAACATGGGAGTCTTACAAAAAAATGTACAACCAATTGTACAGATCTCTCAATATATATATAGCATGACATGTACATATATACATATATAGCATGACATAAAAATATATAGCATAACATGGGGCGGTGACTTAGTTGGCCGCCCCAACTAATATATATATATATTTATATGTATAGGGTCACGCTCCGGTGAAAATGATGCTTAATGCGAGAAATAAGAATGGATCGCGTAGTCATTAGATCGAATGATCTATTGGCTAAAAAAAGTCAAAATTATATCTTCATTAAGGGCAATTTGGACATTACCATTACACTCATTACCACATCACCATGCCACATCATCATCCCCACACACAAAACACAAGCATACACACGCCACACACACACCCAACACACGCACACACACAGTACACATATAATCTGTTACACACACACACAATACTCATACACACACACACACACACAACACACACAAACGCACACACTGACTGCACACACAAACACACAATGAACCCGACCATCAGCAGATGCTCGACCACCCGCCGGCGGCGGTCGCTCAAGGTCCGTCGGCACATTATTTTCCGGCGAACGTCGTTCCATCTCTACAGCCATCGCTCCATCTCGGCCGCATCACTTTCTGGCGGAACACACAGTGAACCCGGCCACCACCAGATGCTCGACAGCGGCCATCGCTAAAGGTATGGCGGCCGCATCCTTTTTCTGGCGACTGGCGTTCGATCTCTACAGCCGTCGATCCATCTCGACCGCATCCCTTTCCGACGGCCGTCACCTCCGGCGACAACAACCGGAGAATTTCTAGACGCACGACAGCGGTTGAGAGAGGTGGCACCGTGGAGGTATGTTTCACGCATGATTCCAACGACTATCCACGCGGCGGAGATAAATTGGACGCTGACAGTACTTCCTGAGATGGATTGACAGAGAAAAGCCGGAGCCGGTTCGATGCCGGACGAATTGCGTCGGAGATGGCAGTGAGTGATGGGAGTTTGCAGATTAGGATTAGGGATTTGGGGGGTTTTATTTTTATTTTTATTTTTTTTTGAAAATTAGATCATTTTGAGGGGCCTATTTGTAATTTTAGTAATTTTGATTATTTTCAATTTAATTCATAGGCAAATCTGTAATTTATAAAAACATATTTAGAATGTTATCTTTTATATATATTTTTTATACACATTTATATATTATATTTTTAACCAAAAAATAATATAAAAATAATAAAATACTAAGTATACTTTTTATATAAATAAAATATGAAATATTCCAATTATTTAGGTTAATTTGATGTAAAATTATATATACTAAATCTAGTTTCAGAAAACACATAATTTGTATCAAATCATATAAAATAGGGCAATTTATATATCAGCATGTTGCACTTTATAAAACTACACGTTGTACTTTATAGAACAACACATTGCACTTTATACAATCCAGAATTATTGCGATAGCTTTCTCGGATTGTATAAAGTAGTGCACTTTATATATCAACACGTTACACTTTACAAAACTACACGTTGCACTTTATAAAACAACACATTGCACTTTATGTAATTCAGAATTATCGCAATAGATTCAGCCAAAATACTACACATCATAAATCTAAAAAAATTATATCTACGTACTAATTTAACATCCATCACATCATCCGTATACGGAAAACACAAGCATACTAACGTATAAAATTGCCGCAGTGCACTTTATGTATCAACACGTTGCACTTTTTAAAACATAACGTTGCACTTTATAAATCAACACATTGCACTTTATCACGACATTCCACAATTAATGTCGATAACTCCCACAAAATACTGCACAAATACATCTAAAAAAAATAGATCGACATAATATTTAATATATTTTGTTATATTTTGTTAGCACATATATTTTAGGTCTTTAAAAAAAATAAAATAAAAATCTATATGTGTATATGTATATATATAAATATAATGCTAAAATGTTAAATATATTTTTTTAATATAAATAAAAAATCGTTGTGATTAATTGTGGTATTTTGATTAACTGATAGAATAAATCGATTATGTCGGTCCATTTTTAGTTTGGTTCAATGTGAATAAAAAATGAATACAATGTGAGTGCACAATATTATTAGACCAGATGCACATATATGATTATCAATTACTAATAGCTACTGAAACCGAATAAATTAATTTTTTTATTTAAAATTTTATATTTTAGTTCGATTAGTTATATTTATTTTTAAAACGTAATTATTTTAGTTCTTGTCGGCTTTATTTTACTAAGATAACCAAAATAACTTAAATGGCCGTATTATATGAAATATATTATTATTATTTTATATATTTTCAAGTATTGCGAGTGCACATTAAGGTTATACGCATTGCACATTACTGATAATTGGATTGCACAATATCGAATATTTTCCACCAAACTAATAATTTTATTTCAATTTTTTTAAATCTCGTTTCAATTGCTATTTTTTTGTTTTTAAAAACTCGATTATGCCGGTTTGATATCGTTTTTTTATTTAGAAAACCGAACAACCGAACTATATAAAAAAATATTAATTTTATTATTATATTTTTAATGTAAAGAGTTATTATTTTCCAGCCACAAATTAAACAAGCAAACAAAAAATACGTCTACATAATAACTACAATATTATATATTTATTCATTTAATTATTATCTATCATTATATAAAAAGAATAACTTTTTTACAAATTTAGAAACTTTTTTCCCGCCAAAATCATTAAATATATCCTATATATAGTAATTGTTGGACAAATCTGAATAGGCAAAAAAATCCGCTCATTAATTGTGTAAAGATTTGTTTCTCTTTTTCCTGTTTCTTAGTTTATCGTTTTAACAATAAACATTTGTTTTTCTTTTTCCTACTTTTAGTATAAATCTACACGAGCTTATCTCTTCTGTTACAAAATCTCATTGCATACAATCTTAGGTATTTAAAAAATCTCATCTCTTATCTATACAGATTTGAAAAAATAAAATAAAATAGAAATCAATTCATAATTACTACTAAAAATCCATCATCTTTAAAAAGAAAAAATATAATAAAATAGAAACTAATTCATAATTACTACTAGAAATCCATTATCTACTTTAAGAAGCTAATAATTACTACTAGAAATCCATTATCTACTTTAAGAAGCTAATTTTCATCCCTCTAATTACTAATATTTTTACAAATATTCTAAGCTAACCATACAAAAAAGTATAATAATAATTTTGAAATGGTGTGTAATCAAATTTTTTTATATTCTCTTATACAAAATCATTTTACATTGTTTGACTCCGAATCTTTAATTTATAATTATTAAGTATTGTTTATCCTCCTCTTTTATTTATAATTATTTTTTTTTTCTTCCTCTTTTTAAATACGATCAATAGTAGTTTTCACTTCCGCCATTGACTCAAACTCGAGGTCTATTTATAATATTGTTAATTTAATATTGTTCCCGTACATCGCACGGGGTACACACTAGTTATTATTTACAATTGGGTACATATGCAAATTATGCATATGGAATATAACGGCCACAAGGCCCACAACCTACCAAACAACATTTAATTTCATATTAAATTATTGGTTATGACTTTTCAAGAAATAAATTTCTAGTTTTTTTATTAAATGTGCCAGTATTATGCAGCATACAATGAATAGTGGGTGGGCTACTTTGAATCGTGCGCCTGAACATTAAATGTTAATATTTAAATCTTAATAAAATTTGATTAATTACAAATTAGCACATATGCCCCTAAAACTTTTCAAATTTACAAAAATAAGGCCCTATCATAAATCTGAAAATCAATCCACTGTTCTTGCCAGGCCATCGTCGAGGAACTTACCCTGCGGCCACCGGAAGACCTCACCCTGTCCGGCGACCACCTTTCCGATATCAGACGCCTCCATCATCGGATACATTGATTTCACCAACCAAAAATAATTTCAGGACTTACTCTCCGCCGCCGACATGATGCCACTCGCCGTGACGGCCAAAGTGAAACTAGACTGGCTAGTGGCCGCGCCTGACCGGAGTGACGTCGGGTCTGGTGGCCGTGAATATCATCGTGGAGCTCGACGGGACCGTTTCAGCGGCGACGGGACGGGCCGGGAAGACGGCGGCGGCGAACTGAAACTTCGACGAGGTTGAGACCTAGTGTGTGCAGTGGTCAAGTTGGGGTCCAACTGAGGACGGAGGCTGCGTCGATTGGTCAGACGGAGGTCGGGTATGCCGAGGGATCAGGCGGTGGCGACTTTGCCGGCGACTGCGGCGGCGCCCTAGATGTAGGGATGTGTGCGTGCGTCGTTTATGTGTGTGTAGTGTGTGATTGTGTGAGTGATGCAGACCATATATGTGTGATTGTGTGTGTGCTTTGATTGTGTGTGTGTGTGAGAGAGAAATGTGTGTGTGTGTGAGGGAGATAGGTGAGACGGTGACGGTGAGTGGGTTTTGGGTGGGTCCCACTGGCAAGTGAAATCGTGATAAATGACATATTTATCCTTATTAAGTGGTCAAATACATATATTTGACCATAATATGTCCATTTATTTACCGTAATGCCATCCCATGTTTGACTGCTATTATTAATATTTGACTTGATCATAGCCATTGACTTGATGAATCCAATGGTCCATGATCATTCTTATTTCTTTCATTATCTACCATTCTCATATGATCCATTCTCTCTCTCTCTCTCTCTCTCTCTATATATATATATATATATATATATGAATAATAATAAAAATATTATAATTATAATGGTGATGATTGATAGTTGTTGGAATATTTAACAACTCTCATCTACCATATAAAATAATAATAATTATTATTATTTATTTAATTTTAAATTTTAATCTTTAATCTAAATTAAAGATTAATTAAATATAATGACACATAATTTATGAAACTAACTTTCAAAATTAATTGGTCAAAATATTATCTCTCATGTAAAATAAAATTTCCTCTTTTAAGTAGGCTTTTAACATATAATCATATTAATATTTGGATTTTGAATTTTAAAGTCCAACTTTAAAATCCAACTATCAATTTAGTAATTCCAATAATTACTTAATTAATATCCAAGGCCTTATTAATCAATCCAATTGATTAATTTATTTTATTCCTTTAATTGACATCTAATCAAAATTAGATTTTAATTAAATAATTAAATTATTTAATTAAGACTTGTCAATTAATCCAACTATTGGAAATACCAATTTCAAAATTGTCACCATCCAAAATTTGGTGTGATCCTTTTAGGTTCACAATTAACACTAGTAGTGGGTTTATAACTCGTTCGTAATTTAAATTAATCTAATTAATTTATATTCTTGAAATTAACTCCTTAATTTCAAGAACCCACAAATCATGGTAACACCTAGCAAGTAGCATGATTATATAGTGTTAAGTGAAATAGCGAGTAAACCTTTTTTCAATTGCAAGTTCATACATGTAAAATCCTTTCGACAACTAATTTCCCGATTAAATCTTGGGCATGGATTTAGAAGTCGAAACTCAATTGATTTAATAACTATGATTCTATTTCAAGTTTAGTGATTCCTTTATGAATCCATATTCATCCCGCCTTGGCCAAGGTATTTGAATCACAAACTATGAAAACCATAGGAAATTCACTTATCCACATAAGTGTCGAATTCTTTGTTGGCCACAGATAAGCCTCCATACATATTAATACAGTACCCAAAATATCCCTTTTATGATTGTCCAACAATCAAAGGATAAATCAAAGTAAAGCACAACATGTACAAGATTACTATCGTGCCTCAAGTCAAAGGATCAGTCATGTACTATTGCAACATGAAAATTCTTATTCGACAGTTAAAAACTTTCAGTTAAGAATTTTCATCGGGCCATGTTCAGTGAACTTGTTCTCCAACAAGCACCTGCATATATGCATTTGCGTCCACACGCTAATGTTGATGGAATGCAACATTCTCATCCGATGAGCATACATCATATGCACAAGTCTTACCGGGTTATTCGATATCCTGTCTCGAAATACCCATCGACTTGGAACTTATTTAAGATCACAGCTTTAAAGACATGTTCCATGATTGCCATCAAATGCGCAACCATACCTCATAGCTAATAATGATCTAAGGACTTTATCATATGTGCAAATATAGGATAAATGCAAAAACATAAGATAAAGTTATGCCTCAAAATAATATAATTTCCAATAAATTGTCTTTAAAAGTAGAAAAAGATCCAATCAGATTGGAACGCCGGGTATTCTACTCTAACAATCTTCCACTTGCCCTAGTTCCAATCACTCATGTATTTCAGGCCCATCTTCTCAAGATGTCCGTCAAACACTTTCTGTGATAAGGGCTTAGTCAGGAAATCTACTATATTTTCTGCTGAAGCGACTCAATCCATAATGACGTCGCCTCTACCAATGATCTCTTTAATCATGTGGTATCACATCATATTTTGTTTGGATTTTTGATGAGATCTTAGTGCTTTCGCTTGCGCTATAGCCCCATTGTTGTCACAATAAATCATTATTGAATCAACAACAGACGAGACTACACCCAACCCTTGGATGAAGTTTCTTATCCAAAGAACCTCATTTTACAGCATCTGATGCTGTAATGTATTCACCCTCGGTAATAGAATCAGTAGTCATTTATTGTTTGAAATTTTTCCAACTAACTACTGTTCTATTCAAGGTAAATATGTATTCGGACATTGGTTTTAAGTCGTCTTTATCGGACTAAAAACTAGAATCAGTGAAGCCTTCTAGTTTTAGTTCTCCATTGCCATATATCAAAAAGATATCCTTAGTCCTTCTCAAGTACTTAAGGATCATCTTAACGGCCTTCTAGTGTTCCTTCCCTGGATTTGACTGATATCTGCTCATGACACTACGTGCATGAGCCACATCAGGCCTAGTACATAACATTGCATACATAATGCTACCAATAGCTGATGCATAAGGTATACGAGTCATCCTTTCTTTTTCTTCATACGTCTTTAGAGACATAGTTTTAGAAAGTGAAACATCATGACTCATAGGAAGGTATCCATGTTTGGATTCCTCCATGCTAAATCGTTTTAGCACCTTATTTATGTACATTGACTGGCCCGATCATCTTTCTATATCTATCTCTATAGATATTTATCCTTAGGATAAAAGATATTTCTCCTAAGTCTTTCATGGAAAACTATTTAAACAACCAAGTCCTTGTTAACTGCAACATTCCTTCATCATTCCTAATGAATAGAATGCCATCAACATAGAGCACAACAAATGCTACTGCATTTCCACTAACCATCTTATAAACACATGGATCATCCGGATGTTTGTGAAAATCAAACGTTTTGATCGTTTCATCAAACCGAATGTTCCAATTCCTTGAAGCTTGTTTAAGTACATAAATAGACTTTTAGAGTTTGCAAACTATTTGCTCGCTCCCACTAGATATGAAAACCCATGGTTATTTCATATAAATATCCTCCTTAATGTTTCCATTAAGAAAAACAGTTTTCACATCCATTTGTCATATCTCGTATTCATAATACGCAGCTATGACTAGCAAGATCCGAATGGATTTAAACATTACAACTGGTGAAAAAGTTTTCTCATAATCAACACCTTGTTTATGATTATAACCTTTTGCAACCATACATGCTTTAAAGTATTCACCTCTCCATCTACTCCAAGCTTTCGCTTGTAAACCCATCTACATCTAATGGGTACAATACCCTATGGTGGGACTAACAAGGTCCATACCTTGTTTGAGTATATGGAATCCATTTCGGACTGCATAGCTTCTTGCTATTTAATCGAGTCAATGTCCAACATTTTCTCTTCATAGCTTATTGGATCATTATCCAAAAGGAGTCCCTCTTCATTGTTCTCTAACAATAGGTTTATCCTTTAAGGCGCCTAGAAACCTTTACAGATTTCCGAAGAAGTTGTGCTTCAGAAGGTCCAATCTCAACTGGTTTGTTATCTGTGACAACTTGTGGAAGAATTTGTGGTTCTTCATTAAGTTCTACAATCTCACCATTCTTATCAGATAGAAACTCTTCTTCCAAGAAAATGGCATTCCTCGAAACAAACACATTTTGTTCAGAGGGATCATAGAAATAATATCCAATTGACTCTCTTGGATACCCCACAAATTTTCATAAGATGGATCTCATATCCAATTTATCTCCCACTTGCTGCTTCACATAAGCAGTACAGCCATACTTTAATATACTTGTACGAAGGTGTTTTGCCACACTATATCTCATAAGGTGTGTTAGGCACGACTTTACTTGACTTCCTATTCAATAAATATGTCGTCGTTTCTAAGGCGTAGTCCCAGAATGAAATAGATAAAGTAGTAGAACTCATCATTGATCGAACCGTGTCTAACAAGGTACGATTCCTCCCTTTTTAACCTCCATTAAGATGTGAAATACCAGGAGGAGTCCACTACGAGAAAATCACATTCTTCTTTAGATAATCGAGAAACTCAGAAGTCAAATATTCACCTCTTCGATCTGATTGAAGAGTTTTAATATTACGATCACTTTGTTTCTCCACTTCACATCTAAATTCTTTGAACTTTTCAAAGGCTTCAAATTTGTACCTTAAAAGGTATACATAACCATACCTTAGATAAATCATCGGTAAAGGTTATAAAGTAGTGATAGTTCCTTCTCGCACTAACAATTAGTGGTCCACAAACATCTGTATGAGTCAAATTCAACAGACCTTTAGCTCGCTCCATTTGTCCAACAAATGGTGATTATTTTTATTTTTCTTCTAAGACATGACTCACATGTAGGCAACTTATTCTCTCCCCTAAGGTCGAGTTTTTGGTCCCAATTTGTGAATCTTCTTTTCAGATATATGTCTCAATCTAGCATGCCAAAGTGCAAACGAACTATGATTATCTAACTTTCTTTTACTTTGTTGAATAGTTAGGATGAGACTTTAAGGTGTAACATTATATAAACTATTTGTTAAATACCGAAATATATAATAATGGTATCTTTGAAAATGGAACAACTTCCACTCTCAATAACAAACTTACACCATTATTTAAAGCTAGATAAACAGTCCCTTTATCAAATGCAACAACTCTTGCTCCATTACTCATCCTAAGAACTGTTTCCTTACTGTCCAGCTTTCTACTTCTTGTCATCATTTGCAAATCATTGCAAATATGTGAGCCAGCGTCGGTATCTAATACCCAAGAAGCATCATTAACTGATAAGTTAATTTCAACAAAATAAACACCTGAACATTTCAAGCTTGCAAGATATTCTTGCAATTCCTCTTCCAGTGCCTTAATTTGTCACAATGGAAACAGTCGTTATTAGTCAATTTGTTTTGCTCA